CACACACACACACACTCACGGGAGGAAAGTGTGCTTTGCAGACAAAGTTAATTGGGCATAGAAGTAGAGTTTCGCCTTGGGTTTGACTTCCAAAAATATTATGTATAATAATAAACCATCGCAATTGTAAGAAGCAGCTCTGTATAACGCTCTGTCAGTCAACCATTCATTCATCTGCCTCTGCTTGATTCTTTCAGGGTCCCAGGAGTGGGGACGGGGGGGGGGGGGGGAGTCAATCCCAGCAGTTAACAGGCGAGGGCGTGGTGAGACCTAAACTGTTCTCCTGTCCATCACAGGTCCACAATCACACTCACATTTAGGGTGAATTTAGAGTAAGCAATTATCTTAATCCTGCAAGTTAAATTAGTACCAGGAGAAAACACACACACACACACACACACATATGGATAGCATGCAAATTCCATTCCCCAGTTTTAACCTCAGTAACTACTGGAGCTAAAGTAAAACATAACTCAAGGTTCTATGTTCAGCTCAACAACTTTGTCAAAAAGTCTCCTTCACTCAAAACAAGTGAACAAGGACATGGCAACATGTTCTGTGTCTGGAACACAGTATACAGCCTATTTTTTAACTCTTTTTTTTTGTCCCTAAACAAGAGTAAAATAAAATGTACTTTATTTTTAACAATTTCTTTCCATAAATAAATCAAATTTTACTGCTGCACTTCAGCTTTAAATGCTTGTTGAACAGGCACTTAGACACGAATGCCTAAGCCTCCTGCCTGTTAAACAGAGTCATGTTTGGTATTCAGAGTAACCCTCAGAAAATATAACAATTATTGTTGAAAACACTGACCAAACAACACACAACTAAAACTGCAGCCACCAAAACAGCTTATTTTATAAAGATCCAGCCAAATTCCTCTGAAAGGAGACCAAAGTTTGGTTTCACAGTTGAAAACTAAGAGCTTCTGTCTTACTTTACTGTTTTATTTATTCAGTGGAACAAAACAACTCCATTGTTTATTGTGTTTCACGAGCATTTCCCATCAGAAATATCTGCTTTCTGCCCGGTTACATCGATTTGTTTGGGAGGAGGCGAGTTGCATTAATTCTGAATTACACCTATTTGCTTCTTCATAAATAAGGATTGGACAGTGACATGATTGGATTGAAGTATACCGTATATTAATTATTCTGCGTGGGTCAATAAGAAAATCAGAATTCTAAGTCTTTAGGCATGTAAATAATGTGGGTGTAAGGAAATATTGACACACTGAAATATCATGATATTTCAATATTCTATCCATATTCTACAGCACTATTCTTTATTTACAAAGAGCATGCAAATATTTATGGCATTGGTTCATTTTGATTTATTTCTCTAGGGATTTCACCTGTAGATCGGTCGCCTGTAACATCTTCTCCCTTACCTCAAGAATCTTAGAACCTTCTGCATGCAGGCAAATATTACAATGTACAATTAGCCCTTTAACCGAAAATATATTTACTAGAGAACTAAACTGAAATTTGAAGTCTCGTTTTTAACACTGTGCCATTTTTCCCCACAGATGTAACCTTAAACCAGGCTCATACCAGGCAGCATTAGTCACATTGTGTCCTTTTTTTTACAGTATGTGCTCTGCTCTATACGCTCTTCATTTGTCACTGGGAGAATAATTTACTAAATTGCTCATGTTCTATTTAAGAAGATTTATAACTCCTGCTGGAGACCATAAAACCTTCATTGAAATGCTTTAAATAGATTAAAAATAATGTGAGACAATGGCTAATTTTCTAAAGGCTTTCAACCAGATTCTTTTCAACCACTAGAGCAACCACTTGTTAAAGCACTGTATTCATCCCTTTCATTAGGACATACCAGTTCTATTTAATATAGAAAACAAAATGTCTGTCCCCAATACAATTTTTTTTTTTTGGATTTCAATAAATGTATAATGAATGGAAGGCAGTGTGATAAAAGACACAGCTCTGTGGGCAGTGGTGACATATTAAAAATTATAACATTAAATTATAACTAGTAACAATGAATGGAGGACAACACACACCCCTTGCTGGAAAATATAAAAATCAAAAATAAAACTCACATCTTGGTCTAACACTATTATTTCATCTTTATGATACTGATACTTATTCAAGTCCGTCAGTTGTTTTTTTTTTCAACCACAAGTCATTTTCTCTTTGATCCTCACAATTTTGGAATCCAGTCGTGGGCCGGTTTGGACAGTTAAGTGGCCCGGATTCAGCCCGTGGGCCACCACTTGATAATCAATGCTTTAGAGTTTGAGTATTTAAATTAATCATTTGAATGATACTGATATCAACACTGGTATCGATCAATCCTCGTAGCTTCAAATGAAGATGTGGTCAATATTTGGCAAAAAGTCAAATAAGTGTTTTTTTTTTCAAAACTTACAAACTTTACAAAACGGCTTAAAGGCAACAACAAACTCTATGATAGAGTAGTTTTATATGTTTGTATTCCATCTCTTCTGAGATAAAACACAACAATTCTCCACTATTTTTTTTCACAATGACTTTTATGAACTTCCTCTCCTTAAATACATTCCTGTCAAATAGTATGAGTGAGAAAGTTGAGGTAAGAGATTTATAAGGACAAGCATTTCAATCAATTCCACAGCCTTCTTACTTGAGTCAAACCGTATGCCAAAAAAGCTCTTTTTAAAGGAAGGCCTGAACATCAACTTGACCGCCTGATTAGTCCTTCCAGCCCTCTGAGCCAAATTCTGCTCCAACATTACTGGCTGATGAAGGCCATATGCTGTTTTCCAAGAAGCCAAGATATACTGTTTCCAGGGGACCTGACAGGCAGCGAGAGAAATCTTAAGCCTCAGCATCCTCAGCACAGTGCACCATTACTCAGACCGTTATCAGAACTGAGCAGTTCTTAGGATGATGAACAAGGTGAAAGAGAAGAGGCGGCTTCACAAAGGGTGCGGAATCAGCACTTCATAATAAAAAAAAGTCATGGTCACACAAACAGTCTCATTCTGTGCACTTTGAAATTTGGAGAAGAGGTTCAACCTCCGACTGGTCGTGACAAAGACAGGTGTCACGAGCGTATTCATGGTGATGCCAACAATTCAGACTTTGACAGAGAGCACTTTTTTTTGCCTGATCAAAACAATAATAATAAAAAGGTGTTTCACCAGGGACTCGTTCTTCTCTTCTCTCATTAATCATCATTCCCCTCGTAGGAAATCCAAATTTGTTGGTAGTATTTCTAACAGCACATTTTTATTCCAATGACTGCACTAAGTATTTGTTGAATGCAAAATATGACGATAATAGATTCCGTGGACCTTTAAAATGATCTAAAGGAGGAAACAAAATCTGTGTCACTATCTTTTTCACACTCATACGTACACACAGACACACACGCGCACCATATGACCGTCTCCCTGCAGTGCAATGACCTCATTTACTCAAGTTTTGCTGTAAAATGGCCAGCAATGTTGACACTGTAGCTCCGAGGAGAGTGGGATTTTGCAGTAAATCAGGGCTACACAAAAAAAAACCTCACAGGGTTGACTTCTGAGAGTCTAATTTTCCCCCGTACACTGACAAGATCTAGTGAATTAACCTTACTTCCATGAAGATACTCATCATGGCCTAAACGAGTAATTAATTCTCCCTCTTCAAACAGTTCATGTTTCAAAGGGTCCATCTAGGCGTTAATCTGCAGTATTTCTGCAGCCTTTGATGCTCCTGCACTTTTCACTTCAGGATAATGATTTGAGCAAACACAGCCAGTCCAGACTGAAATGACATCCATCGATCCGGTCTGTCAATGACCAGCGTGTAAGGAGAATCCACGGTGATCATCCCCTGGTTTTCATATTCTTCTCCATCAACATCAGCTTACGGCAGACAATACAGAAGACAGTGACCGTACCCATTTAGATTATAGTATTACTTGTTGTTAAATACAAAATACCTGAAAACATTTGCAATCATATTTCCATAAAACACAGTAAACATCTCCGTACATCAGGTCAGTCCCCTTAATGGGTGCTAAAGCAGGCGAAAAATACTTCCATGAACACTCTTCTCATCCAAGAGTCACGGCTATATTTATAAATATATTATATAGCGAGACAACAGGTGAAATAACTTCAAGAACAAACAGGAACTGGTTCATCACAAAGACAAACGACCGCAGCATAAAAAGCCGCCATGTTTTTGTGGAGCAAAGCTTTTAAAACTCTCTACTAAAAAAAGAACGCAGGAACCTCAGCTCCTCAGGCCGGGAGATAGTGATGGTACAACAGAGGTGCTACAGGGGAAGTAAAGGAGTGAAAGAAAATAAATCATCTACGTCAACTTCGATCCCACAACAGAAGAGTGGGTTTAAACACAACCAAGATCTCACACTAACTGTAGAACACACACGTACACACATCGGATCAGGAGAAACTAGCATCGTGAGAACTATCACTGCAGGAAGCCTGTGGCATAGACCTTTAAGGGATGGAGCTTGTAATAGTTAGGGTTGCTAGTTAGAATTCCAGCCATAGCCAAGAACTAGGATATTGAGCAATGTTGAGCAATTAAAAAAAAAAAACACATACAAACACAAAACATGCAGCATAATGGGTTTAATACAATGAGCCATGTATCTTAGGGAATAAAAGACATAACATTTTTTATTTATTTATTTTTGCTATTTATCTTATTTTGAAAAGGTAAATTGCCTCTCTAATGGTTTGGTCTGCTGCGATCAAGACTTTCAAAATAAAGTATGAGGCAAATTTATTTATAAAACACCAAGAAAAGACGATGTGTTGACATTCCAGAAGGAGACAACAACACTGCCACAGTGCAAACATTATAAATCAGTGAACAGCAGGAGGGAAATGAAGGTGTGACACAAACTTTTACAACTTCACTCTCTCTACTTATCTCTCTATCTAAGCCTGCACGTCAAACAACAGCTTCTCTGTTTGAGCAGCAACTGCCTGCAGGAGTTGTTGGAGTGTGGGGACTTGCAGCACTCACCATCTTCCTTTTCATCGAACACTGGTCTCTTTGAGGAACTGTTGGCCCCCATCCTCTTCTTCCACTTGCCCCAGTGAAACATTGATGCTCAGATCGCATTCCTCGCCTCTTGGAGAGAAACTACAGCCTTGTGTTGGACTCGCTCTTCAGAAGACACAGAGCAGAGAAACCACACATGTCTTATCCCCCCGTACTGCCGCGGTTCCCTTTACTTTTTGGCTTAATTTCTTTATCCGTTTTTTTTATCTTCCTGGAGAATGAGCTCCGCGAGTTGAAGTCTGACAATTGAAGAAAAGCATTCGCCAGGAACACGGCTGCAGCGGAGGTCGGACAGGAGCCGCCAATTGGACTAAAAAATGACAAACTGCTCATTAAGTTGCAGCTGGAGGTTGACGTAATCGCTGGTACTGCTCAGGTGTCTTTCGTAGCTTCCAGCAACAAACAACTGACTTGTGTTGATCGAGACTGAGAACGGGAGCTCTGCCGCGTCAAGTGTCACGCAGTTCCTAAAAATACACAAACCGGAAGCCACCTGCTTTTTTACCCTAAAAAATAAAATATATATTAATGAAACAGTTAAAACATTTACAAATGTGTTCAGAAATTTGGGGGTGAGGAATACAATATACAATACAATATCATACCATACCATATTACATGTATATAGAAAATGACAACACAAAATAAGACGCAAATTGTTTAAAACAATTTAAAACATGTTAAAAAGGGGAAAAAAAGTTAGCATTTCATGTATGTAACTACAAATCAATTTATAGATGGAAAAAATGTTAGCAAAAATAAAAAAATTTAATAAAAGAATTGACCATAAGAAAACTTAACTTGAGGCCATTCTGCCAAAAGTTTATTGGTCAGACTGCACATGTATTGAATACAAATGAACGTCAAAAATGATTAAAGCATAGCTCAAAATATTACATTCCAACTGAAAAGCTGAAAAAGAGAGTTATTTTAGATTTACTTGATGTAATTCTAAAATAACTGGTACTGTATGTCGGTCAGAAAACCAAACTTGGACTCCAGTCTAGTTTTGAGGATAGTTATATCATTATGTACTTCTGACAAACATGGGAAAATAGTGACTGGGACCATATATTATTAAATGGAAAACCTTTCCATAATATAGCGCCTCATCCTTGTTTTGGCCGAGTTACTCATTTTATACTGAAAGTCCCAAAACGGAACCTTGACTTATTTGAATTACTCTAACTTTGCAGAGCAGCGACTGTCTGATCAGTGACTGTAGTGGAAGCAGCTCTGTATTACACACATTGTCATGCATAACAAAATGCGAGAGAAGCAGCAGCAGCCAAACAGTATGGGATCAAACCGAGGTAGTCGCTGCTGTCCTTAGTCCATGCCACTGCTCCACAGTGTCACCAGGAGATGGCTGAATAGGTGAGAGGACGAAGGAGACGTCAATGGGAAAGACTGTCTACAATCTGCACCAAATAAACTATGGCGTTTCAAATTATTGGGTGCATTTTATCACGTGACTGTCTCCCACCCGACCAGGACTGTCATCGTTTGGTGATCACGTGTGCAGCGTCTAAACTTTACACGTGGACGGAAACTGTTTACAGGGTTGCCATGGATACGGATGCGGCGTAGCTAGCTCCTATTTAGCAAGAGTAAATTTGAGTTGTTTTTTCATATACATATAACAAATAGCTTTCCAATGGGATCTCAGGTATGGAAATAGAAGTCTAAATATTTGTTTGGATGAATCCAACTTTAGAGGCTAAGTTTCTGCTGTTTTTTTTTTTGTACAGAAAATATAAAAGCGCTGTTTTTACTGCGATATTATGTCTATAGACGAATTCGTTTGTCTATTACACATTTTTACATATGTGTGATAATACTTAAAGTACTAAATAATAAATACCAAGTCATAAATACACGAAATAATAAAGCCTAAGTTAACTCAACTCAACGAACCTTACAGTAAATCAGGAAAAATAAAAGTAAAGTAAAAACCATCGACCAACAGCAAGCATTCAACCTAAAAATAAATAAATACAGTATATAAGCTTGAAATAATTAAGCTGTAAATAAATATGAGCTGTATAGTTAGCTATAGTTTGTTTGTATTTTATGATAAATCCGAATATTTAGCCAAGAAAAGCTCAAGTTGGTTAAAAAATAAATAAAGAGGATAGTTTAAAGAATGATTTAAATATTTGTAGTTTAATTTGAATAAAATTACACTGGAACCTCCAATTACATATTGATTAGTTATTACTTATTAAACACATGTTGTTTATACTGCTGATATAAATTTAAAATGTTTGCTTGTTGTATAAAACGGCCACAGTTTCTTATGGTCAGAAATTCAACACATCTGTCTCAGTCGAAATGCATTGTGATGAATTCCATCATCCTGACCATTTCGCAAACTTTTTCTCTTTGATTTACAGATATGAAGTGGACTACATGAGTGGACAGTTACTGTAGACTGGTTTTGTCCAGTAAACAACACCCCTACTCTGCTGCGTTGCTTCAACAATGTCTTCCCCAGTGGAAGTGAAGGTGGAAGAGACGAAACTGATGGAGGAGGATCTCTCAGACCTGAAGCTAAGCCCTGTCTTTGGGAGCTGTGTTGCCAAACTACATACAGCGCCCCACTTCCTGCCCGAGGACGTTGAGCCACAGGAGTTGTCTGGAGGCAGCGTGATAGAGACATTATGTCTGAGCAGAACACAGTTGAACAGCGTTTCAGGAGATATTTTGACAAATAGCAACCTTAAGGTCAGTTTCCTCTTGGTTTGTGCAGAAATGCAGTGTAGGTTGTCCACAGCTGATCCATTCAACACTGAATGATTACATTAATGGTCTTTGCTGATCACATTAATGGCAGCTGTGTTCAGTTTATGTAGGTCAGGCCAGTAGCAGCAGTGAAGCAGCATTTATCCCTGTACTGGGAAAGCATCAAGGAACACAGCCATTAATCCTTTGTTATTAGTTCTAATTTCACCACTGTGACCTGTCAATATCACTGCTCCTCAAAAGGTACACACACACAGGAATCAAGGAGTTACTACGAATAATTACCTTTAAATGCAGTTGGTGCATCATTTAGCTTTTCATGGTCTTTATTGTCATACAGTATATTACATAAAGGGACAGGCTATTGGGGCTATAAAGGAGGCTAATGACTCTGGTTATTGAGAACATAGTGAGCACTTGCTTCATTTAGTGTTTTATGGGTAATTAAAAGACTTCAGAATCAATGAAAATGTGCTGCTGACAAAACCTGTTCAGTTTGGTTTTAGTTCTGACTGTTAATTATGTCAGTTTTATGTAGGTAAACAATGATATGTTTGTTTATGAATTGTCTGTTTATTCTAACCGCTCACTGTACTCTCTTCAGTATTTGTATCTTGAAGGAAACCACATTTCCAGTCTTCCAGAGTCCATGTTTATCCACTTGCCACACCTGCAGTGGCTGGACCTTAGAAATAATCTTATCGCATCACTTCCAGCTGCTATCGGCTTGCACAGGTAGGAGACTTTTGACCGTGATTTTCCAAATATTTATGAATTGTTTTTATCTCTTTTTGATGCACTAAAGGAGTCATTTTCTGCTAGTTTACATTCAAATACATGTCATGGACATTTTTTTGGACTATTTAACATCTGTATCTTTGCACTTGACTAATATATTATAATTTGGTCAACGTAGGTCTCTGAAAACGCTGCTGTTAGAAGGGAATCCAATCTCAGAATTGCCTGCAGAAATGGGTAAGCTAAGCTGTTGGTAAGCTGTTAGCTAAATACATAATTACACAAATCTGAAACAAGAAAAGACTATCATATAAATAAAATGTGATTCATTGCCAAGCAAACATCGTGCTGCAGACAGCTCTAGATTCCGGACAGCGCATAACAAATAAATAACACCAGGTGGCAGCAAAAAGTTAAATAAACTAAAAGAGAAAGACTCTCTCAGAGAGCTGTTGATGAGGGTCTTTCTTTAATATCTGTGAACATATCAGCATGTGTTCAACTAATCAGGCCTAGGTTTCACACTGAGTCAGTAAAATAGTATGAAATTATTACATTTCAGTACAAATGTAGATTATAAGTATTTTTGTTTGGCAATGGGATATTTCTAATGAGAAATAAGTGCAGTGGCTCAGGGGAGGTTAGGAAAAGCTGCTTTAGATGTCATTCATAAACTAAAACCTGTCACAGAAATGGTCAGGTGCACTTTCAAAAGCGTTAATCCCATTATCATGCAGAAGCCCAGCTTCTATGTCCCTCCACTGCTTATTGACTTCCAGTGAAGCCCGGCCTTAGTTGAAGTGACATTTCTGCTGTATTTATTCAGTCACTGTCTCGCCCCCACAGTAAAAAAAAATCTATCCAGTCACTGCCACATAGAAGGCACTTAGAGGTGAGTTTTAACAGGGTTTGAGAGCAGAACGTATGAGAACATACATGACATTTTAGAGGAAACTGAGCTCTGTTCATTGTCTAAATAGGTCTTGTATATTCTTGATTGATCAACTGAATGTTGAAACGCTACAAACATTGCTGTTAAATGACTGTTATTTGGTTTACAGGATATTTGATTACACTCAAAGGTTTGAACCTGAGAAACTGCCCCATCACTTTTCCTCCACACGACATAATAGACCAGGGGGTCCAGGGCATCCTCCAGTACCTGAAGAGAGCTATGGAACAGAGACAGGTTCACCTGGCAGAACCCCATTCAGGTAAATCAGTGACACCTAAACTTTGAACAGTACAGCAGCAGGTTGTTCAATATTCAAATGTGCCGTAGCCATCTGTTT